TTATATATATATATGCAGGTATGTACGCACTCATGAGTGTATATTTGCATGCAAACGTGCATGTATGCATGTATTTGTGTATGTATATATGTATGTGTGTATGTGTGTATGTATGTAAAGAAATAAGAAGTTCTTTGTTTTAAGTATTACGATTCCGTGCAAAGATCACCGAATCAGTGTTACGTATACGGGGTCTTTTGCGGGAGAGCTTTAGGATCCGGACCAATTTTTTGTCCAGGTGTAGTGTGTATATCTGCGGTAACATACGTGTAGAATACCTGTCTGTCTTAGAACTGCCATCATTTACTCTAATCGTACCGTGTGCAACCACTGTTCGAATCGAATCTTTTCTCTGCACTTATCACCGTTTAACGATCATTTTCTCCACATTATATTAGTTGAATGTCTCCAACGGCCGACTACGGAGGTGCACGAACATTCACCATAAGATTCATGGTATGTGAGGACTGTTTGTCGTCTGGCCGTTCGGTACTATGTAGGTTTGTGTCGTACCCTCATGTCCTACGGCAGATACTAGAATACTTATCTGTGTATGCATGTATATATATGTCTATATGTCTATATTTATGTCTATACATATATCTATATCGATATATATATATATAACTATATCCATATCCATATCCATATCTATATAAGTATCTGAATCTATACCTATATCTACAAGCACGGACAGTTTCATGCCTTGCATATCCAATTCCTCACTTGTCGCATGCACATAAGTTGTTGGTGTGTGGTTTAATTACGTATGCTCCAGTACGTGTTGTGTGCTATTGTGAGTATCCCATTGCGTTTCACCCTTCTCCATGCCATAATGCACGGTGCAACACTGATCGCTTACCTTGGTTGGGCAAGTGCGAACCCCAATTCAATATGAAGACTTGTATATGAAGTCATCATTCTTTGGAAGCAAGGACTCTGTACCAAATCCCCACTTGTGCGACCTGATTAGGATACGTGTATACTGGCAATTGACATTGTATTACTGTGCGGAGTGTCTTTAGCAACTTATCACTGTGTTGTACTGAGTGATATTGACATCTCATGATTGTATGGCACTGACAGTCTGCAACATCTTATTGCTAGATTGTGCGGAGTGTCTTTTATACTTATCACTGTGTTGTACTGAGTGTTATTGTCGTCTCATGATTGTATGGCACTGACAGTCTGCCACATCGTATTGCTATACTGTGCGGAGTGTCTGTTCGTAGTCTTGTACTGAGGTCAGTGTGTGTGCATCATCTCTCTTCTGCAGCAAATATTGACGATGTCATGGACCGATACGACGATTCGCGGCGGATAGCAGACGGCTTGGACGACCAAGTGGTGCTGGCCAGAGAGAAACTGGACAAACTCAAAGACAAACAACGCCAGAAGAAACTTGGTATGTTGTCCACATTCCGGGGGTTTTCCGGCGTGTATAAAGAATTGACTGCGAGTCATAAGCTGCATACGTGTGCAGCGCATGAATCCTATGCAGTAGTACGGTATGCTTATACGCGTAACTACCGGAGCGTAGAAGTGGCACGCACACAGAATCACTCATGCCCAAACTAAAAAAACCAATACACGGTCACGTACTCCTGCACAGCCGGGAAGCTTGCTAAAACAGAGGAGTTGAAGTTCAAGAAAGAAATCGCCGATGTGCGCTTGGCCAAGTTCAGAGCAGAGAGAAGTCGGAATGTGTATATACTGAACAAGGCCGGCATGAATAGCATGCTAGAGGAGTACTACGCCACCTATCTCGTAAGTTGTAACACGGGCAGACGTCTAATTGCTTCAGTGCAAAATGTACACGTTATGTTTAAACTGAATGCACTTTCAGGTGTTACGTTATCCTACTTGCGTCCTCTCAGAGCCAGACTTTGAATTCGTATTGCGCGAGTCACGTCTTTCGCGGAACACCTTCCTGTACTATAAACGAACTGTTCTGGCCTATTTTGTAAACGGACGGCACCTTCACCCCTCCAATGCTTTGAGCAAAGAGTAGATCCTCATCCCTTCCTATTCGGGAATCATACGGGGAGTGTCCGTTGGATTGTGTATATGCGGATTGTCACCCACGTCGAGTACTGCTTATAATAACTAACTCACGCGACCTGACCTGCGCTCATGACAACACCCCACAGCCGGATATTCTGTCTCTGCTAGACGACGGATACTGCACAACCACAAGCACGGTGATGTCTCACTACCACGACGCTCTCGATCACATGTTTACGGAGTCGCTGACAGGCCTAGAGAAGTATGTTCCGAGTGCACGCCGCACGCTGCGTCTTCCGATGTTCAGTACCCATAGTTCTACGCATTTTCGCAAACTGCTCTGTTTGTTGTGTAGCCCGCCCGTGTGTGTCGCGCTGTGTTCTGTTTCTCCAACGCGACTCTCGCAACTGCACGAACACAGAGTGACTGTCAGGATTGGGGAATGGGGTGTTCTGGTTTTCTTGTACGGTTTCATCTGTGTGCCTTCGCGTACGCTGTGGTCTATCAGTGCCACCTCTGTCGCAACGCTCTCAGCCGCACGCATACCATGTCGCTTTCAGCGTAGGTAGCGCTATTGATTGTCAGGATTCCGCTCAGCAATCTGCACCCGCTTGTTTCGTCCCATATACTGTTTCGTATTTTGCGCTTAATTCATTTCCTGTGTACATTGTAGAAACCTTTTCCTTGTACTCGGTTCTTATCGCACTAATCGTTATCTATGTATTTGGCCAGCATTGCTCTGTACGCGAGAATGATGCTTCCGGGAGTGGTCCCGCCGACTTGTCGCATCCCGTGTGTTGTGTGTACGCTCACGAGGCTGTACTCACAGTCAGACGTGTACATGTTCAACTCTTTGTAGATGTGAATGTATAGAGATATCACGGTACCTCAACTCTCGCTGGCATTTGCTCTTTGTGATACAGATTCCACCGATCATTCAATGCAATCGATGAGGAAAGAGAACATGTACAATTCCTCAAAAATCCAGTCTTCATCATGTCAGAATTGGCCAAACAAGCAAAGGTGAGTGTCTGGGTGTAGCGTTATATATATGTATATATATATTTGTCCGTGTCTGTGTCTGTATGTGTATGTGTATGTATATGTGTATGTGTAAGTGTATATATATCAATATATATTTATATTTCATATAATGTCTATAGTTGTATATATATATATATATATATATGTCTATATTGTCTATATTGTCTATATTGTCTATATATATATATATGTATGTATGTATGTATACTTATATATATAATATTACATTTTAATCTTTCATCTTTCATCTTTCCGTAATGGATGTCCTCATCAGGTTCATCCTTTGCTGCCAACTGTTCATATATAGATCTATCTATAATGTAGGCATCTGTCATCTGTCATGTGTGTCGACTGTGTTAACGCTCCATTTCTACCGTGTCTTATCGAGTTATATACATCTGAAGCCAGTTGTCGGGATGCATTGTATATTCCACACTTTGCCCAGCGCAATAGTGACCACGGTAAATTTATGGAAGCACGATTAAGCAACTCGTGGCCAGTTTCTTCATCCATATGTATGTACCTACAGTTGAAAAAATAGACCATCAGAACTACAAGCCCAATACTTAATCGCATCATATCCTATGTGTAGGGTACGGGGTATGTGAGGCTAATTTTCATACCGACATATGGTTGTATATGTATATACATAGAGGCTAATTTTCATACCAACATATGGTTGTATGTGTATATACATATAGGTTAACTTCATACCAACATTTGTATATGTCATAGGGTATTCTACGATCGTCCGATGACATGGCTACCCCGTTGGTTGAGTTTGATGGCAGCAAACAGCATCTCTGGAGGGAGCTGAAAGACGCCAAGCAACGCCTGGGTCGGTTTTTGGCCGAAAAGGAAAAGGTGTTTGCATGTGACTCTAGCTATGAGTTGTTATTGCCGTGAAAATCGTTCGGCTTTTGTGTATATGCTTCTTAGTAGTTTTCGATGCAATGTCACTGAACGTTCACTGGTGGGAAAGTTTGGGCGTTTAGCATAGTAGTCGGAGGGATGCTGTTTTTAAAGGACTGTGATCTTAATATGACGTATTAGCAGCACAAAATATTATGTAGAACTAATTGGGCCGATGCATGGCGCTATAGCCAAGTTTCAATAGTCAGCTTATATATATATATATATATATATATATATATATATATATATATATTATTATTATTATTATTATATACTATATATATATA